AATCACAGATAGGTCTCCTAATGCACTAATAAATGGGAGTACCAAAAGTTTGCTCTACACGGCTTCAAAGCTGTTTCCTCTCTCTCTCTCATCTCTCTCTCTCTCTCTCAAAGTATCCGTCTGCTTAAGGAAAAAAACAGAGTACTGCGAAAATTAATTTGGAAAATTACCATAAATTACTTTATAAATAATATTTAAATATTTCAAATTGAATAATAAAATAATAAATAAAGCTACAAATCATCTTATAATATAAACATTATTTAGATTAATATGACATAAACCAACGATTTTAATGTGTTTTGTATAGGTATGAAGTATAGGGGTTTCATACGCCATGTTTTTTTTATATTGCTCATCTGATTAATATATTAGTTGGAAAGTAGGTGATAGATTCATGTGAAGGGTTTCATTAAGGCCTAATTCATTCGTGTCGAGTACACTAATTATATGATTGGTATGATAGAATAACAGATGAAATAATTATTCTTTTAATCATTACTAATCACATGATTGGTATTGTTTAGAAATGAACTAGTATTCGACCATGTGCATTTGCACATATGTAAATAAAATATTATAAGTTATTTATTTACATATAAGATTAAAATTATAAGTTAGATAATGATATTATATTTTAAACATATTGTATTATAAATTATATTTATGAATATAATATTAAAATTATAAGTTAGATAAGCTATTATGTTTTAAAATTTGATCTGGTTAAAATAAATAGTACATGATAATTTGATTGCATATGAATCACTATATTAATTGCATAAAATGAAATAAATAATGCAATTTTTGTAATGTAGAGACATCATGACTAATTAATTAGCTAAATAATATCACATTTATTATAACAATTGCTTATGCGATTTTAATAAATTTTACTATCACATTAAATAAATTATTTAAAAAAAATAACTTAATCAGATAAAAAATATAATATTGATTTTAGAATATATAACTTAAAAAAACATTTACAATATAAATATTTAGGTTTATGTATTTTTCATATATCATTTACTGTCAAATATAATTATGTTTTCATAATACCTATTATATGATACAATAAAAAATATAATTATTACTCAGTTAATATAAAATGTAATGATTTTTGCTTTAATTTACCTAAAAAAAAGTGCAAGAAAATATTTTTTCACTAATGGGTAGAGTGAATTAATGTTATAATAATGAATTGTAACGGTTTTTGTATTAGAAAATGTGTCATAAAGGTAAAATTTATAAGGTAAAATTAAATTTTTAGCTAGTAATTCTATATATATATATAGATTATATAGATAATATTGAGAAAAATTGAGTTCAATTAAAGTTGAATTGGATTTTTACTTAAAAACCTGTATTTTTTTTTTCCTAAACCTAATAAATTAGATATTTGTATATCCAATCACGTACAAAGTTTACAAAAGATATATACAAATTTGAGTTGGATATTTAATTAAAATATGTATTTTTTTTTTTTTTTCCTAA